GCCGTCATTTATCCTGTGCCCTTCATAGGCCCTCTTCTCGATTAATACAAAGCAAAAGCGTAAATGGCTGTTAGCTCTGTAGTTCCTTCCAAGGCTGGATTTTCTAATGATTTTATCTCCAGTGTTCACCAAACAATAAAAGGCATTTTAATACTAAATGTTTAGAATGTAGGCTAGAAAAAGAAATAATTCGATGTAAGAAACTCATCTCCAGTTAGCGAAGAATCATTGGATAAGATTGACTCTAATCCTGTTCAAAAACCTTTCTTCGTACAGCTACCGGAAATTTTTCATGAATGAAGTTGTTTGATATTTGGTAATCCCCTCGCCTTTGTATAAGTCCATTTCTTAACTAGCCGCTGTCCAGTAAAGTATACTAAATTTATGTAATTATCTCCATCACGGACACGTCATCCTTTCATTCTTTTTATGATCTACATGGGTTATGCTTATAACGTTAAATTCTATCACAGAGTATATTGTCCATCGCGCCCTTTGTTTCTGCGCTTTACCACAGAGAGCTAGCAGGGCAGGACTATTTAATAGTACCAATAGAATTTCTGAAGCAATTCGTCGCTGGTGATAACTTTTCATTTCTGGCTGGGACTCCGCATAATTAGTAAGTTGAAGTATTTATGTAATAATAACACCCAATTCTTCGTGAAATCCTATTTATACGAGCCTCCTGCATAAGGATCATAACTAAAATAGGGTACTTTTAATCCAATGAATTAGTATTTTTAATGATCTCTGTTTTTTGGGGGATCTTTGAGGGCGGTAAATATCTGGTTCTCGTTGGGCTTGAATAGGCCTATTGATACTTAGTTCAAGTATATTTAATTTTCTTTACCCCTTACTATTATGATGTTTTTTTTCAGTCTTCATCTGTACCACCCGGCACCAGCTGTACTACTTGTCCTTCCTTTCCTATTTCTTCGTTGTCATCTTCATTCCTATCCTCCACTCGACGCCTTCAACTGGCCGTACTGCTGATCAACCGTGGTGCCAGTGTCACTGAGCGTAGCCTTAGCGGTCAGACGCCAATGCATTTGGCAGCACAGCACGGCCTCGTAGAGTTGGTCGCTTGTCTTGCGCAGCAAGGCGCTCGTGTAAATGCCACTGATGCTCAAGGCTTATCGCCGCTCCACCTAGCCTCTCAACATGGCCATGTCGGGGTAGTCCGTCTTCTGCTCCATCGCCTTGGCGCCGACCCTGACCTTCGTGCGCATACTAATGGCTTGCTTGCTATCCAGATGGCCAGTAACGAAGCC